GAAGATCATGATCTTCCTTGCTGAATTGAATGGCCTGGACCTATGGGCCACAGATATTGGTAATGCCTACCTTGAGGCCTACACTAAGGAAAAGGTAGCCATAGTAGCCGGACCAGAGTTTGGGGAGCTACAAGGCCACACTCTTATTATGTCAAGAGCATTGTACTGATTACGTTTGAGCGGAAAGATGTGGCATCAAAGATTTTCTGCCTGTTTGAGAGAGGAATAATAACTGAAACATCAATCGATTAAATGCTATCTAGCGCATACGATTGCCGGTGGAATAAGCGGCTGTAAAGGTCAAGTACCGTGAAGCGACGAGTCAACAGCTAGTTTGAACTATTGGAGACATCTGGTGGACAGAAGTTGCTCTAGTCAGGATCGAGGGGATCCCAACTCTACCCGCGACAAGGCGGGGTGATTTTGGGGCGTTGATTCCTCGAAACGGGATTAGGGGGCCTGGGCCGGGTGGAAGAAGCGGTGAAGGATACGGCGTTGAGGCGCCAGAGCGCGGCGATAGGCCGTGCGTTCCATTCTAACCAGCTTCAGCCACTCTTCCCTATCGACCAACGGCTTGTTCAACACTGTTCGGCGTTTCACGGCGAGCATGCGTTGAACTACCTTGGGGAGGTCAGTTGGGCCCATATCAAACTGAGAGTGTATACCGTCGTTCACCAATCGGCTACGTTCGCGTAGCTGGACGTTGTCCTCCGAATGTTGCACCGAGTTCCGGTGTTCCCACATATGAAATCCAAGCAAGATCAGCTGATGCGACAGGCGAGAGACCCACAGGGTCGGAGAGCGTTGGCTCCCTCGTGACTGAAGGTACTGTTCCTGCAGGGCCGCCCACTGAACAGACAGCCGGCCTTCCAATAAACCTTGGTAGCCGATGCGTTGTTGGGAGAGGAAAGCGCGGCGAAGACGAACCGGAACCAACCGACTGCGAGGTAGGGACGGATCACGAACCCCTTGAAGGAGGTAGAGGATAGCGTGTTTGATGGCTGGGTCAGTGACTTGGGTGTCCAACCATTGGTCCAACGTCGCCGTCCGGCGCTCCCATTCCGCACTCGCCGAGGGCGCCATACATCGAGGAACATGAAGGTGGTCCTCGAACTCGCCGTGGCAAGGACACGCAGCTGAGTCTGCGGTACCCCACCGGACTTTGAACTTCCCTACACCACACATACCCACGACATGCTTTGTGGTCCAACGTTGGACACCTGCCGGAAGGGAGCTCATGGCGCGAGCCAGACTGGTCCAATCGGTCTCCAGCTCTGCCTCTGGTGTAATCGTCTGCCGCTCGTGCCATCGCTTGCGTAGAGCAGGCAGCGCCACCAGTTCCTGGACCTGTTCTGGATTCAATCGCGACTGTTTGACGTCCCCGATGTAGAGGGCAGCCAATTCGGTAAAGAAACGAGCGTTAGGTGCAATCAATCGGTGTGAAGCTTCAAGCTGGTGGCGATAAGCAACCGCCCACGCATCCACTTCCACATTCCGTTTGGACCACCAAGAGAGGCAGGAAAAGGATGTCGCCTGATCAAGGTGACCGTACATGTGGCTAGGTTCCCACGAGGCCCTAGAGCGGGCAAGTGCCTCCCGGATAGAGGAGACCAGGTCAAACTGGGCTTGTTGCGGTGTGACTCGATTGTCACTAAAGGTGTTGAGCAACGCCGAAAATCCATCGCACGCAATCCTGACGCGGGGTGGTGATCGAAGTGTTGGAGCCCACTGATCCAGGAGCCAATCGAAAACCATGATACCGGCCAGTAGGCCAATCAATCTACTCCGGTACGCGCTCTGGTCATCGCTGCGGATTATACATACCGCAGCATTGAACACTAATACTGTACTCATCAAAACAGCTTGGATTCAGGCTTACTTTCTATATATTATATAGACCTGAATAGTCACGCGCGGTATTTTATAAAGTTCAATTTAAAATTGTTCTCGTCATTTGGTCATTTGTTGTGATCCATCATTGTTTTTCCGATCTGCCAATGAGCGTCATTATGGCATGATGCACACTATGAGAATGAATAGATGATGCGTTATTCTAATCCGATGGATGTAGTGGTGGTGATGATCAAGGAGTCTCCGGAGACTGCACTTCGCAAGTCCACGGGAAATACCATGGATGGGTCCCTTCCGATGAGATCCAATCATCCAGCCCACCGAAACGATGGATCGGGTCGCCCTCTGCAAACACTTCTCGAAACAGAACCTTTGGATTCAACAAGGATAGCAGAGAACTCTCTTCCGCTTCATCCGTGTTATTGGGTTACGACGGTGACATCAAGACATTTAGTTACGACTGTGAATTCAAAACACAAATTTATCAAGACAAATTTACTTGACGAATAGATGAAGGAAACTGAATAAGCTCTAGTCTAGACCATTGATTACTATTATCTTTCCCCTCTCCTTTTTCTTACTGCTATCATTGAATTAGCGACTGCAAATATCCTCATGCATGTTTTTCGTATATACAGGGTAACTGCAGTACGTTTCCCTCTAAAAATCGCTGGACTTCTGTTTTCACGATGTTTGACTTGTCACAAGCTGGAGAAGACACGCCAAGCATTTTCTGACTGGCAGGCTTTCCGATCTTGTTTGAAATAGGCAAGGCTGGCTCCATATTTGGTGAGATTTGGTGGGAACTTTATTAGTGTTCAATGCTGCGGTATGTATTATCCGGAGGACCCGGAGTCTGGCACCGAACAATAATACGTTCCTTGCCACCCTTACGTGGAAGCAGTTGTACAGCTGCCGTGCCCAGACCGAGCTTATAAGAACCCTCGCTGATCACACACAGCCGGTCTTCGAGTAGGGCTTCAGCAAGGAGGCTTTCGTCGCCATCGATCTCTATTTCTTCAGGGGTCCAGCCAACATACTCGGTCACCTTGGCTGAGGCGGCCATCCAGGCGGCCAGCAAGGACGGTTGAGAGTCGTGATGCGGCTGCAGCGGTGCTGTCCCAATGCCGGTGAGGGCTAGAGTACCTAGCAAAGGCTTAATGTGAACGGTAGCTCGGCACAAGTCAGCTGGGAGTGGTTGGGTCCAAAAGGGGGCCGGCAAGAAGCTGGTGCCGTTGTCTGTAGGCTCGTTATGTGGTCGTTTGCACCCGGACAATTGCGTAGAACGAGGATAGTCCCATTGGATGCTCCGTGTGGAGGAGCGACGGTGACGGTAGTGTTGCCACCCGTGGCCCTGGCGGTGGAACAATCCGTGGGTAGAAGACCATAACCAGTTCCAGTTGTCGAGAGGATCGAACCATGGGCCCAGAGGATGACGCAGTAGGCGCTGGGGTCCGTCAGAGACAAGTAGTGCTCGAGTAAGGTGCTCCTGCCACACCCTCCAATGGTTCCTGTTGGGCCGGACAGTGCGAGGCCATTGATATGAAGACCGATGAGCGTAGTCACGTTCCCCATGCCACATGGACTCCCGGATGCTGCGGCCATCGGCCGTCACGATGTCGGAGACGGTGCAAACTTGGAGGAACATACGGCACCAGATAAGCCACTTCAGAGCGTCCTGATCCACTTCCAACTCCATGAATACCTCAATGAGCAAGGCATCGCCTTCGCACCGGAGAGGGAGGACAGGAGAGTCAAGAGCAACGTAGAATCCAAGTCCTCCAACTCTTTCCAGACTCTTTTGAGCCAAGTATCTGACGCCAAAATTGCCGTGTTGCTATAGTCCTGCTGGAAGAGTCCGAAGGAGGTGCCGGTCTCAAGTTAGTGTTCTTGAACCGCAGCCTCCATATACGCCCCAGTTTTTGTTCGGTTGGACAAGTGGCGGAGCAGGACCTCAATATCTTTAGACACCTGAGTACCAAACGGATGGGGGATACCCAGACCCTGGAATTTGAGAGGGGCAAGAACCATGTCACGAGGGAAGCTCCTGCATATGCCGGCCTTTGGCAGGCAGACTTGGAGAACAGGACTCATAATCGACTCCCATGTCGCAGCATCCAGTGTAGTTAACACCATAGGATATTCCAGGGATTTCATCACTGTTGTCTTGATAAGGGGAATGACATTGTATTTGTGTAGATGCCCCGATCGCACTTGCTCAGCCCACTTTTTAGCGATACTCTTGAGGTGGGCGACGTGAGCATGCTGATCTTCCAATGGGGCCAACATGACCCCCAAGGTTTTCTCTGCCTCATCCGGCTCCAGACGGCGTAAGGCTTCCAATTCGCCAGTCAGTCCAGGTATTTGTAATTTATGATCCGGTAGGAGTTGGTGCGTCCGGCGGAACCGCAATTTACCCTCTCTGGAGTCCCACACAAAGTCAATCAACCACCAGAAGGACTTTTCTGGGTTAATTGCCCCTCCAGTAGCACTAATGCCTCCAGTCCACGTGGAAGCCGCGTGTTGGACGGAGTGGCATATATCCTCGCCAGATTGTTCCACGGACTTGCCCGCTTCGATCACATCCGTGTCGTCGACGAAGCAGAAGCACTGAGCGGTGATCAGTTGAGAATCAATTGCGGTGAGGCATTCGAAGCCGAAGCCCATCGCGATCATCATCTGGATGATGACGGAGCTAACCGGAACCCAAATGGGCGGGCCCGCTCCGTTGCCCTGGCCGCAACCCTGAAATGGTACAATGGAAGGGGGATGAAAGCTCTCTTCAGAGTCACCAAAGCCCGTCCGCACTCGGTGTGTGGACGTTGCGAGAGTGTCAAACATCATACGCAACGCATTCCAAGTAATCGCCAGACGCATCATAGCTATCACCGCAACCCAATGGACGACCCGATCAAAACAAGACTTTGCGTCATTTGAAATCCACCCCGCGGAGCAGCGCTGGAGAATCAGCGGGTCCCACACAAGGCGTTTAGACAGGGCAAGATCGATCGCTTGATGGTGCTTTCGAGACCCGCACTGTCCATCGGCCAAGAGGTGATGTTCTTCCCCGTAGGCTATGGCCAGGCGGCCCAATTTCTTGTAGTTCGCTTGGGATTCAGAATTCATGAGCTGAATTGTACGCATTTTCGTCAGCCGAAAGTCTCCAGGCTTCTTTTCATCAGATGCCGCCAGTTGTCAGGGACAAACCCAGTTGTCAAGGGTACGTGGCGGAAGAGAGCGTCGCATTGGGCCACCGTAGGAGAATAGATCCCAGCCTTGAAATGCCCGTTATGAAGCCCATGTGGTTCCGAGCCCTTATTCTCTGGATTACGGGACCAGAAGTAAGTATGATCGTCCGGCGACACTTCCATCGGGATCATAGAGTGCCCTTGATGGAAACGGCACTGTTCCAGGAATGACTGAGTGTAAGAATCAATCCCATCCGGCATTGGAAGGCGGCCCTCCAGAAGGGCGTGGGAGTTCCTCTCTGCATCCGCCCCGGTGAACATTGAATACAAGGGTTCGTCCATGGGAGGAGTCGTATAGGGCGATCGAGTCTGGTCGTACCGTGCGCGATTTTCCTGCATGCACCCTTGCTCAACTTGTCTCCGGTCAGTGAGAGTTCGAAGGTCCACTTGTCCGGTAGGTAACTGCTCCTCAACTTGAATCGCTTGCAAACCACCGGTAGATCCTTTTGACTGGGCGCGGCGGCGGCGTCTCACCTCCTCTCGTTGCTTCATCCGCCGTAACCTCAAAAAGCGATCTCTAGCCTTGCGCGATGTCCATTGTTTCTTCTTAGATTGCTTCACTTGAATAGTCAAGAACTCCTTGCGCCATGTAACCGCGTGGTTTTTCTTGGCATGCAAGTACTCTTTCCTGTCATTACGCAATGCCGTCTCCAATTCAGCCGTAGTCTTCTTCCAGGCGTCGGGCAACTTAGTCTTCTTCATAAGGCGACGGATTTTCCGCGAGCTGACTCGACATTGCTTCCTTCCCTTCAGCAGTAGCTTCCAGAGGGACTGGCGGTCCCAAAAGTTTTGGATCTGAGGAGACCACGGGACAGCCCCATTCGTAACCCTTCGACACCTCGCTTCCGCTTTCCGACAAATATCGTACGTCTGCTTGTGCAAGCAGTTATACTGGCGTCCCATTTTCTCAGTCATAATCCCACTGTTTAATGTTAATCGTCTATGAAGCTGCTCCAACCGCGATGGAATGGAGTACACGTCATAGCCTTGGTGAACCAGCTGGAGATAGCAACGAACGGCCGCAGTGTCAAGCATCGTTAATTTGCGAGGCTTATATGGTGTCTTCTCCGGACGATAGCTGCCAAGGGACCGTTCCAAATCAATATCGATCCACAGACCGCGATGATCACAGGAGAAAAATTCATCAAAGTTGTAGTAACCACCCGCTTTAATCACCACTCCGGAAGTTGCAAAAATACCATCAATGGGTCTGCCACGTTTGTTGCGATGCTGGGTTGCCGCAGTTCGACTTGGATGACGTTGTAGGATTGCTTCCTCCAATCCTATGCCACAAAGTCGCTGGCGAAAAGAGGAATCCTGGTATGAGGAGACATCCTCATTAGCGTCCACGCCCACGATCACTTCGCACCCTTCGTCGCGCCATTGGGTGATCGCACGTAAAAGGTCCACCATAAACGCCTCCCTTGGATCACGCTGTCTGCCTTGAGAGCGGAAGAAGCTGCGGGGTTGCGCCCATACCGTAGATTCGCCCTTACCCGGGGGGTTTGGCCTGTACGCGGAGACAACCACCAAGTCTTTAGAGAACCGGCTACGTGACGCATCGGCAGCCTCATTGACTTGGTTATCCGAGGATGGCATATCAAACTTCTTGCCTCAAAGGCGCACGTACGCCCACCTTCCCAGCTTAGACGGGTCCCTACCATATGACTTGGCTCGGTGTACAACCGAATTCAAGACAGTTGCGACGCATCCGCCGTACTGAGAACAAGACGCAATTGGCCGGGCGCGATTCTCATTGTGTACCGTCGCCGAATAGTACCCCTTGGGCCCGACTTGCTGCATCCTATCATTCCAGTTATGACCTTCAGGTAGAGAAGGCCAGTGCGTGTTGGTCTCTGCCAACAACGCAATTCCCACTTGTTCATCTTTCAGCCACTGATTAATCTGTAACTGTTTCCGCCCTGTCGACAAGGCCGGTAGGCCATTGACATTTTGGAAAATCAGGCGAGTCAATGCAGAACAGTGGCATCTGTGATTGTCACCAAAGAAATCGCCGGCGGGAAGAGAACTTAAAAATTCCTCTACTGATGCATGGGGGACATCAGTCGAGGGGCCACTTAGTCGGGATCTTCTGCCTGCACGCCGTGACCGAGCGGCAGACGATTGAGGGCCTCTCATGGCCCTGCCGTGGAGCGGGAGGCTCCATGGCTGGCCAATGGCTTCTTCTTCCTTCGTTTACCCTTAGTACGGTCAGAGGGAGGAGAGTGTTGAGGATGACGGAAGGTGGGGAAGACCGGGGACGGGGAACCGTCCAAGGGATTATCAGAGACCCGAGAACTGGCCAAAGACGGAGTAGAGGACCCTGGGCCAGAGCCTGGGTCCAAAGCATTGCTATGGAAGGTCGACAGCATCCTTGCTGTGTGATCCGGAGTCACAAGTTCCCTCCGAGAAGCAGCAGTGGTGGTGTCTCGAGGCGGAGTTGGTTGGCGATGGCCGTAGTAGCCCTAGGTGGCGAACTCGGCAGGGATGCCGTGAGCGGACTTGACTTGGCTGCTCGCGCTGGAGTAGCCGGCAAAGTTGGCTCCTTCGCGGCAGAATCGGCCGCTGCTGACTCTGACCTGTCCTGGGGAAAGGAAACCGTGGCTGTAGGTTGGGGAGGCAAAGCCGGCTGCGCCTCTTGGCTCGAAATAGTCTGTTGCAGGAGGCACAGAGCCGCAAGTTCGTTGGCCAGGGATTCAGACCAAAGTCGTTCAGCTTCCAAAGCGCTACTCTTCTCAACCAAAAGATTCTCCTTAAACTCAATTTCAGTGATTGCCGCTTCCAATTGGCTATCCTTCTCAAGTAACTCGTCCATGGCGCCTGCTACTGTAGCTCCATCATCGATATCTTTTGCATCTGCCATTTCCATATCGAATTCCAACTTAGCTTCGGCGACATCAAGTGGGTCGGACCCAAAGCCATCAAGGAAGTCGATGGCTTCATCAATGCCTTGCCTTGCTGCGATCTGTTTTGTCCAGCATTTCTTCCATTGGAACCATGTCCAGAGTTCTGAAATCTTCCACTCATCATGAGCAAGTTCCTATTGTTTCAAGTCGTAGGAATATATCGACTCCCAATTCAATTCAGTGACTTTTTATAATATATGTTAGAAGTAAGCGATCCACTGCCGCCTGCAATCTACCTGTTCAATTGACTGCGATTTAGCTGTCCAG